GTGCGTGCCTGCGTGTGTTACTCATGTTGTGTGGCAATACAGCAAATCTGACTATGCATCATAAAAAGTCGCCTTAAGGTGAATCATTCAGGTGATGTTTTGGTCTAAGTCCTGGAATGAAATGATGGAAACATGAGTGTGTGTGTGTTGAGGCGTACTTCCAACACGCTCTGACACGTTTTGCTGTTCATGCCAGTAACACACACACACCCCCTAATACACAGTTTGCTCTGTAATTTCTGTTTGTTCTTTCACTGGTGACCTTTGACCTTTGATTTATTATTATTATTTTTATATAGGATTACTGTCACACCTGTTCCACTCAACACTACTGAGCCAGCAGAGCATTTTCTCCCTCAGACTGATTTAACCTCACTGCCGTTCCAAATGAAACTGTATGATAAAACATTGATATGTCATCCAATTAAGCCTGATACATAAATTTGTATTCTTTTAACTCTAAATTATGAAGAGCGTTTATTGTGAGTTCTTGTAGTTGAGCTTTGTGTGCAAATGTCAGGAGGAAATATCCACCCAGATTTGTGAAGCTGACAACAAGAGCCTTTAGGCTCATTTTTAATGACATTATCTGACCGATAAAATGGCTGCTGTGTAGTTAATTGTACCACCAGGGTAACTCATCATGCTGCTTCAAAGCAGGTGATGTTCAAGACAAGAGATCAACAGGTGTAAACACACCACCAACTGACCAATCAGATCTTTGGGAAACAGGCTCCTCATTCTTGGAAGATCCCTTGGACCTCAGTGAAAGGCTCAGGAATAGAAACTAATTTCTGATGAGCACCAATAATAATATTAATACATGTACGAATAATTATCCTGCTTTGTTGGTCAGTCATCAAACACACAAATGTGCTGCAAAACAACTTCATGGTAGCTAATATTCTTTTTGTCTCCAAATAAGCAAAGTTAAAGAAGCAAACTGAGGTTAAATTTTTATGTTTTTATGAAATATGCTGTTTTTAATTTTGTCGTTTTGATTTGTGAGTCTGCTGTGCTGCTTTTGTATGTATTTCCTGTCTCCTCTGTTCCTATTAATAGGTTTCTTTTAGGAAGTTTTTTCTGACTTGGAGCTGTTTTACTTCTCGGCTCGTTGGTGCTGAGGCGGGGGTCTGTCTGAGCAGAATAAATTACTAAACTTCAAAGGGTAAAAATCATCAGCATGTCAATGATCAGCCAGGCTAAAACACACACACACACACACACAAATACAAACTCATCAATTCAGCTGCTGCTAGGAGACCAGCTGAACCAGCGTCATCCTGTTTGTTCGCCTGCTAATGAATTTCTGCCTCATTTCAGTAGCCAATCAGAGTGCGTCCCTCTGATTCTCACCTTTGGATCTGTGATGACATCAGCACGCCGGGTAAACAGGTGAGACCCAACAGCCCTGCTGCTGACAATGAAGCTAAACTGACCCCAGCATGGACTCCTGTTTGTAATGGTTCATTCACTCGGGTCTTGGGGATTTTTTTTTGCCTTTCCTGTCCGGGAGTGTACCAATCAGAGTTGTTGTCTGAAGGCCAAAAAAATGCCCAACAGATTTATTTTCCCAAGTGGACCATTGCAGCTTTTGCTATGATAGTCCACTTCATTCATTCATATTTTATTAGATTTTTATTGGGATGAGTTGGGAAGAAACGTTGCAGAGTAAGTTCAAAGAAGGAGAGGGAGAGAAAAAGTGAGAAGAATAGGGATATAGAGAGAGAAAAAACACTGAAAATCTGCTTAAACACCTGCTGAAAATCCTCCCCAAAAACAACACAGGAGGGAAAACACAGCAACAACCAACATAAGTAGTAACAGTAAATAATAAATATTAAATGGAGCATACAGGACTAATAATACATGATATGTTTAGAGGCAGCAGCAGACAAGATAGTGTGCGTCTATGCTTACCCATTTATACACCTGTGTGTGCAAGCACCTTATTCATAAGGTTTCTCCATTTAAGTATCTAACAGTGTTTATGGGGAGGTACAGCCCTGCCCCATGGGGCCATGGCGACAAGCCTGCTGCACCTAAGCAGCGGGCCGAGGGACCCAAGACCCATGAGCCCCCAACTGAGGCAAAGTACCCCTTTCATGTTGCAAATTCCCCCACTGACCCCCATAGGCACACCCATTCCTTGAAATTCACCAAGGTCAGGGGGCCCAGGCCGGGGCCCACAACAGCAGCATCACCAAGTCCCACAGAGCGCCGACCCCACCCCAGGGGAAAAACTACACCCACCCCAACATTGAGTCAACTCTCAGACTACATAAGACAATAGACACCAAGGTTGAGTTCATCCTCCACCTCTACTGGATCCCCCAATCTGCAGAGTGGACTCCACAAGAGCAGAGACCACATGCAAAAGATAATAACAACCTCGCCACCAGCTGAATAGACCTCCAATTCCACCGGTGCACCGAAGGCCCCCATGCCAGGGCCAGGGCCCCGTGCATGCACCAACCCACAACCCCAGTGACACACCAAACCAGGAACCAAGCCCCCCCAGGCCCACCAAGAACGCCAGCCCAGAGGTGGTGCACCCCCAGGATGCCAAGTCCCCAAGCCCGGCCCCACCCAGGAGCAGCGTGGCCTTTAACCTACGTCCGCTAGCACAGACGCTCCTCCGGCCCTGCCACACGCAGTCGCCAGAGAATCACTACCCAAGAGCCACCAGAGCCTCATCCAGGTCAGGAACACAGCTCTCATGTCCAGCCCCCAAAGAAACCCACCCCTAGGGAACCCCCAGATGCAGTTCATGAGGATAGTCTTCTTAGCAAAGCATTAGGCAGTGAGAGCCATCTGGACTGTATTCATCTAAGTTGCCCAATAAGCAAACTGAAGGGGAGGCTGGAATGTTACATTTCAGACACTTTGAGAAGTCTCACATAACCAGCACCAAAACCTCTGAACTGGGGGACAGAACATGGGTGTAACTGTCAGGTGTATTCCCTTGACAATGTGAGCATTTCTAATCAATGTAAAGGTTTTTAAACATATGTGAGACCAGATGTTTTGGTCTAAGCTGACTGATAGATCCCTCTCCCATTTTGCAGTAGGAAGGGAGATTGATCCATCTACTTGGAGGGTGCCCCGCATATTTTAGTAATTTTGGGGTTTTCAGATTAAGGAATTGTACCACACTTGGTGGTGTTTGTCATTTGACTTGCGTAGGCTTAACTTTCTTTTTTACTATAGATTAAATTTGTTGATATTCTAATTATTCTTAAGCCCATATCGTATAACTAATCTGTTAAACATAATAAAGTATGTTCCTTCAAATATATGTTTCAAGTATTTAATTCCTTTACAACTCCAATCTGGGAAGTTAATCATATTATTGTTCTGTAGTATGTCAGGATCTACGTTTCCACGGGAAGACTCAGTCATTTTTAGAAACTCCAACCATGCTGTCAGAGAAGAGCTGATGTTGATGCTTTTGAAACATACATGTTTCATGTTTGTGCTAATGAATGGCAGGTCCAAAATCTCTATATTATTGCATAGTGCCTGTTCTATGTCTAGCCAGGGCTCGTCTAAGACAGTATTTTTTTTTAGGCAGATCTAGGCTGACCATAAAACTAAACTAAACAGAGCTAAGACTCCTGTTTGTAACTGTTCATTCAATTAGGTCTTGGGTTTATATTGTGACCTGAACTCTGGCTCCCTCTGCTGCTAAAAACTACACTAACTAAACTGAAAACACTCATGGCGGTCTTCTCATAACTTCAGTTATGTACAGATATTTTGATAAATCCCTACAAACAGTCCAAATCCAGGTCCGCATTTCTGAACATTTTACGATTCAAGCAGTTACAGTCAACTGCCACAAGTTTGAAAATAAAAAAACAACAAAAAAACTCAGAGTGAACTGAAAGTTTTAAAGAGGTCATCATGTTTTTAGGAGGGTATACATCGAATACACACTGATTTTAATGTTATGTTGTGTTGTGTGTCAATTGTTAATTTGACATTTTAATTTAAACTGCTGCAAATACACACTTTGGTTATATTTTTGACTTTAGTCAGTTTTCAGTCTTTTTTGTGGAGAGTGGAATATTCAAGGATTTGATGGCAGTGACAGAGATCACAGCATTGTAGCTTCCAAGATGGAAAAATTATGTCAATGTAGAAGTGCTGTAAACTGAAGACTACCAGATGGCGACAGCTGCAAAAAGACTGGGAAAATGACTTTCTGGCTGGACCTCTTTGAACACTCAGTTTATGAGATGCTTGCTTTGGGTAAATTCTTGTCACGTAGTACTCTACACCAGCCTTTTCTTATCACATCCAATTTCCTAGAACCAAGATGGTGATGGCAGAAATGCTTCAGAAGTTCAGAGATGAGCAGGTGATGTCACGATAGCTACAACCCCAGTGTACCGTTTGTACTCAGGACTGAAGCTGAGGGGGTATCTGTAACGAATGATTTCACAATAAAACTGTACCAAAGGTAGATTGTAATAGAGGGTCTGGGTAGATCAGCTTAAAGAGCCAGAAATAATTCACTTTATGCAAAGTCTGTTTGGAGACCCACACATGGATCCTAAGAAGCCGCTGATAATCTAATAGAACTCTTATCAAACCAGATCAGCTAGTGTTAATTTTCAGCATATTAGACATGCGTATTGTGTTGGGTTTCCAGACGAGCTGAAAGAAGGTGGAGTAAGACTTAACTTTACTGTTGTTGAGGGTTCATGTCATTTGGCACAGCTTGTAAGTTAACTGAATTTCTGGATGCAGTCTGGCTGTGGAGGTGTGGCCAGTCAATGTCTTTGCTGAGCTGTTTGTGGCCTGGAAACTAGAACTTTGTTATTGTTCTCTATTCATTTCATGAGCTGTGTGTTTAATAAGCATCTAATCAAACAAAATTTATTATAAAATACTGATTATTGCTTTTCAGAAATAATCGAACCATCAGGAAAATCAGCATCTCTAAAATGTAGCAACGCATAACACAGAAAAACAAAACCCAGTCAAAACGTGAAGGCAGGCAGAAATGGACCTTTTTATTTTTCCTCGGGCGATTAACAACAGTGGATTGTCTTGACCAGACCAGAATGAACCGGAATGAACTAGACTGGACCCAGTTTAACCGGATTAAACCAATGAAACCAGTAAGACAGTAAAAATCAAACCCATGCTGACTGGACTAAACCAGCAGAAATGAGTTTGAGGCAGCCAGACTGGACAACCAGCAGAACACTGTTACTTTGTTTTTTACACTGCAATACCACGGCAACAGCCACTATGGTCCAATCAGGTCTGGTCAGATGAGGCCTGATCCAATAATCCCTCCTCTTTCCACTCTCACTTCCTTCCTAAGAGGGGTCAATGGTGGATCTACTGAATCAGGAGGAAACAAAGATGCTGATTGGTCCACACACAGTAAAATCCCGCCCGCTGCTCATCTCCCCATAGCCTCCTATTGGTTGCCTACATCAATCAAAAAAGGAAGAAAGAAAAAAAAAAAACCCAGAGCGAGCCCTTCTCCCATTGGTCACCACAGCTTAGGCGGAAAAGGCTGTTTCCCCCCTGCCCTTCCATTGGTCAGTTTCGATAACATGCCAACTGTCAGTCACTCAGCAGCGGCGAATCAGGTTGCAGTACAGTACCTGTGGAACTTTCAGGAATTACAAAAAAGAAAAGAGAAAAAAAAACAAGAGAAGAATGAGGATGAACAAGGAGATCAACCAGTTAGATGACCTCGCTAGAAAAACAAAGAGGAAGTGGGAGGAGCTTCCAAGCCTTGTATGTAATTTTTTGTTTTTGTCCTATTTCTCCGTGTGTGAGCCGTCCATCCGTCCGTCCACTTCCTTTCTCTTCCAACAGCTGATTCAGTGCAATGCATCATGGAACGATCGATCGCTAGGAGAGGGTGTGTCACTACAATTGTGTGTGTGTGTGTGTGTGTGTGTGTGTGTGTGTGTGTGTGTTTGCGTCCTGTTGTCATGGAAACATGCTGCAGGGTTAGCGCTCCAGCAGCGGGTGGTGCCGTGTTGCATCGTGGGAACTTCTTTTTGTCCATGGGGTTTTTTTAACTGGTATCCATGGACTCCATGTTGGCAGAGCTGGAGTCTCTCTGGATGGAGTCGAAGATAGCCGCCAGCTCCTGGTTAGATGAGATCTGAGACTGAAACTCTGACATCAGCGGTGACTTCTCGGCCTCGGGGATGGTGAGCAGTGCGACAACGGCTCGCATCGCAGACCGCTTCAGCTCGTCCTGCTTCTCGAACTCCTGCTTCACTGAGTTCGCCTTTACCTACAGAGACAGTGGAGACCGTTAAAAAAAACAAAAAAAACAACAACTAGGCAATCGTAACTCCAGGGACATCAGTTAGTAAAATGCAACAGCACTCTGATGCCTCCTTTAAATGAGTCGTCAAAACACAAAAGTCAGTCATGTTGTTCCTCAGGGTTCTGTGCTGGAGCTAATACTTTTTCCATTTTACAGTCATGGTCAGAGGTTTATACACACTCAACATGGGCATAAATCTCAGGGTAATTTTAGGCTTTTTGTTATTTTTTTAACTGTTCTTTTTGGGTGGAAGTATTGTATATCTTTGCATACACTTTTAATAAGTTTAAAAACAAGAATTGGGAGCACATGTTTGGATACATTTTGGATTTTTTTTCCTCATCCACACAGGGCCAAAACTAAATATACAAATACACCTCACTAACATTTGGTTAAATATACTTTAGCCAGATGCTTTTGGTAGACATCAACAAAGCATCTGGCATACTTCTGGATGGATATTTGACCACTCTTCTTGGTAGAATCAGTAGAGGTCATTTAAACTGGTTTTGACGACACAGACTAGACAAATTTTCAAAAGGTTTGAGAGATCAAGGTTTCGGTAAGGCCATTTCATAACCAGTTTTGAAGTGTTTGGGATCATTGCTGTGCTGAAACACCCAAGTATATCCAAGGTTCAACCATCTAGCTGTTGATCTGAGATAAATTTGAAAAACTTTAAAGCAGTTCTCCTCCATCATTACTCCATCCACTTTGTACAAAACAACAGCCAACTGCATGATGCTACCAGTGTTCTATGTTTACTACAAACATACCTTGTTACTGAGGCCAAACAGCTCAATCTTTGTCTTCTCTAACCATAAAGCTTTTCTGCAGATGTCATTCTGTTCATACCAAGTTGACTGAATGTGTTGATTCTAGAGCAGGGAATTCTTTCTCAGTGTTCTAAAAGTGACCTCACTGTGGACAGCGATGGAGGTATTCCGGCAGTTTTTCCAATTCATGGCAGGCATGCCAGGCTCAAGCTTTGGTGGCTCGTGTCGTTCTTTGAACATCCAAACCAATTTCTTCTCATCTGAGGGTGATAGTGTGGGTCATCTTCCAGATGTTGGCAAAGTGGCAACAAATCTGAATAACTTGTAGTTACATACAGTTTTGTTAGAACTGATGAACTTAGAAATTGATGATGTTTAGAAATGGCCTCAGACCTTTCTGACTTTTCTAAATCTATAACTCTGCTTCATGGATCACAGAGTTACTTGGACTTTCCCACTGATCTGAGTATCATGAATCCAGTGCTGTCAAACAAATCATTTTTATGCTGGCAGTTATAGTCAATCATGGTAAATGGCCTGTATTTATATAGCGCTTTACTAGTCCCTAAGAACCCCAAAGCGCTTTACATATCCAGTCATCCACCCATTCACACACACATTCACAC